CCGGCCTCCTTCTTCAATCTGAATGTTGAATTTCCAGCATCAATATCTCCTTATTAAACTATTTGATTGATCTCAAATTTCTCATATATGTAGAAAAATAATTCTATTGTTGACATATATAATTTTTATTCCAATCCAAGTGATAGATTGCAAGAAATCTTAGAATTCTTCACTAAACCTAAAACTCTACTTTTTAAGATCCCAATCCACTTAAACCTCAATAACCCTTGATCCAATCCTTCAATCAAACTAAAACTTACAACATATATTAAAAAAATATATATCCACAAACTCTCAAAATTTCACCTACAAATCTATTGCCAAACTTATGAAATTCTCCAAATATTATCACCCACTTTATTTCACAAATTCAGTGCCACCCAAAACAAATCTTGACTTTACAAAGCTCTTACAAAGTCAATATACACTCAAATTACATCAAATCAATACTCAAAGAAAATCTATCAAGTCAACTCTAAGACTTTAGCCTCCAATTTCTAAAAGAACCCTTGAAATGTTGTTGGAGCTCAGTTTTGTGCCTCAAGGTCTGATTTTGTTCCTTGTTCATAACCAGCCCTCTCTGGGTATCAATATCTAATTTTTCTAAATAATTTTTGCTAAAAACTACTGTTAACTTCTTTCTAAAGGTGCTTATATTGTTTATTTTTCTAATTTACCTTATTTTGCTCTATTTGTGGTCCTACAAAGTGAGTAGAAGCCTATTTTGCAAAAAGGTAGTATTAACATCCTTAGTTTTTCTATTCCTTGACTATTATCTATTTTTCCAAGATAATTTTTTATAATATTTTTGAAATAAGATCTTTAAAAATATGATATTTTTTCCATCCTTTCACCTATTAGCCATTTTACATCATAACAAAGTATATATATCGGTTACACATTAACTATTAATCTAATCTTTCTTAAGCAAGTTTAATTGAATATATCTTCTAATCCTCCTATTCATAATATTAAATTTTTTTTTAATTCTCATGATACTTTCAAGTTTTATTTTAAGAATAATTTATTTTATTTTGAAGATTACTTATATGTTTAAAAAAGTGAAGCACAATTATATGCTTTTAAACTCATCATGATTTTTTAGCAGCAATACATTTTAGATACAACAAAACTTTGGAACTAATATATGAAGATTTTTGGCAGCTTCAAATATGGAAGGTAATTAAAGACTTTTTATGATCATATAATATTTATTTAAGATAAAACACTCTTTGTCATTAATCTTATAGACTTCTTTAGCTATTATCAATTTTAAAACAATCATGGTCTTTTATTTCTATAGATTTTATTATACACCATTCAATTTTAAGTTTGTATGATTATATATTTGTAATATTATTAGAAGTAGGAATTATCCTTGATAATGTTATAAATGTTTTATTTCAAAAAATTTACAAAGGTTTCAACAATGATAAATTAATAAGGTAGTCTTTTTACCTTAGTATAGAATATTATTAATAGTTAAATCAACCTATCAACTACCTTCAAAAGGAACAAAGATCAAAGTATGTAGCAAACACAATTTGTTGCATCTTGAACTTCCTCAGCATATGATTATCACTCTTCATGGAACTTCTACCTAAAAAAGAAAAAAATATCATGGACATATATATTTATTTAAATAAGAAGTATTAGATAAAAGATAAATATAAATAGATTTGATAATATCTCATAGCAAATCTTTTTAGAAGCTTTCCAGATGTAGATTTGATTTTAGATGTGTTTGTAGTTAATTGATAGATTACAAACTTAGCCAATAAGTTAGCCATGTATTATATGTATTGGTAGCTTGTGGTACAAACTAGCCATATGGCACATATTTAAGAAACTTATCTTATAAGTTAGACACATATCTTGCAAGTTGAACATATCTTAGAAATTCTACAGAACATTGTCATATAGCTCTTAGTTAGATAGTATATATGAAGGCAAAAATGAAGCCTTCTTCACTCTTGGCAATGAATTTCTTGTTTTTGATCTTGTTTTAAGATATTCTAATTCTCTTATCTTTGATAATAGCCATTCTAATTGAATATTATATCATCTTTAAATAATTATCTAGTCTTTTCAAATGGCTTAAGAGTGTATTGATCATTTGGCTCTTTGTAATTCATGTCCTTGAGAACCACTCATAAAGAATAGATATTTATTCAAAATTATTATAAAATTGATACGAGATTGATTAATTAAAGAAAAGATAATTAGACTCTTGAAATAAGCCTAAGAATTAGAAAGGCATTAATAAGAGTGAAAGAAACATGATTCTTGTCTCCATATATATTATTTAATTAGAAGCTCTATAGTGATGTTTTTTATGACCTCCAACATGTATCTTACTTGTAAAACAAGATTTTTACATTTGTGCTACATAACCAACTTAAATTACAAGTTACCAACATGTATAACACATGGTAAATTTATTAGTCAAGTTTTTAATTTATCAATTACTTATAAATATGTAAAAAGTCAAATTTGTATTTATAAAGCTTTTAAGATATTTCTTCTTAAGATATTATTATATTTATTTGCTTCTATTTACCTCTATTTAACTCCTCTAATTTAGGTATATATATATGTATATATATATATATATATATATATATATTTGTAACAATTATACATTAAAATTATTAAATATTTATAAATAATTAGTAGTTATTAATACACCACTTCTAATCAATATATATATATATATATATATATATATATTTTGAATAGATGATTAAAATAATAAATTTCCATACAACTACTATTAACCAATACATTCATATTTTGCTAAGTGTTGTTCATTTGTATTGACATCTTTAAGATATTATTGTATGTCAAGTAATATATAATAAAAAAAAAGTGACCATATTCAAGAATTTCATCTTTGCCTTTATCAACTTTAAGATCAATATCTTCATTGGTATTGTATAAGATAAATAATTGTATGCTTATAAATTACAATGCTCTAGACATATTAGATGCTAACTCTTACAAACTTAATTCTATTGATGTCAAAAGATTTATCTATTAGCACCAAAAATATGATGAAGTTATTAACTAAATGCAACTTCTTTGTTCTTAAACATACAACAAAGAAATTACAAAGATATGATATTTTTGCCTATAATAATCAAACTTATAGTTACTTACAAGATAATTCTATTAAAACTTGTAGCGGCCAATACAAAATTATTTGTTGCTTCTATGCACATTCTCGCTAGTCTTGTTTATTTTATTATAAGCATTGAGAATATAAAGGCTAACAAGAGTAATTTGCAATTACAAATTAATATAGTTAACTTTTGGTAGGATGCCATTGCAAATGCATTGATAAATATAATGAATAGTAGATAGCAGATTTTAGTGGCAATAGCAAAAATTATGATGATATTAACAATATTAATATATATATATATATATATATATATATAATATTTTTATAAAATAATATTTTTATTTATTTTTTAAAAGATTATATATAATTTTTATTTAAGTCAATTTAATTCTAATTAAATAAGTAGTATAAATAAAATTATTAATATATTTTTTTCTTTTTACTTTAAAAAATGTATTCTATATTTACTTAAAATTTAATGTTTTAAATAAAATACACTATATTACATAAAAAGAGCAATACATCTTAGAATATGTTGCTTTAATTTTAAAAATGGTTTTATTATAGTTATTGCTATATAGGAATATTTCTACAATGACAAATCTATATTTTTCATAAATATTTTGTTGAATAATAATTAGCCTTTTTTCATAAATATATTTTCTTTTTTAACTTGTAAAATATTTTTAATCTTATTCTTCTCTCAATAAATATATATATATATATATATATATATATTTTCAAATTTCATTATACAAGCAACCATACGATGTAAAATTAAATAAGATTTGTCTCAATAAAGATTTAATGTGTGGCACTAAGTAGTTGGCATTCTTTAAAATTTCATTGTAACATATATTTTTTATTATATTACACAATTTAATTGGATTTTAGTTTTTTTTTAAATTAAACAAATATTTAATGATTTTTAGTTTAAATTCCTATGAATATATATTAAATAGATTTAGACATGTAAATTAATTTGAATTGAATGCATTATGTATGATTTTTGTCATGTACATGGCTCTGGCTCTAGATTTGATTTGATTTGATGTTTTGATTTAAGATTAAAAAGTACGCGCACGCTTGCCACATCGAATATGTAATATTTAATTTGGACTCAAAATAGAACTATTTTTGCTTGTATCACGACCCGCTATCAACCAGTGGGTGCCGACGAGGGTTTGGGCTTTTACCACATTTCGTAACACAGGCCCATGTTTGAGATAGGTTTGGTTCGATGCTAATCTCTGACATCTGCTGTAACTCTCACCGTATTGTTCCTCGAGGTGTTTCGTAGATCGTTTGAAAGCGTCGACTATTTTTGTTAACGATTTAAAGAGCTTTGACGACCTCATATAATTGGCGGGATTCACTGACCAGTTGCGATGGCCATTGTGTCAGCACTGATTACTGAGCGACTACCTTTGCAGCGGCGAGTTCTTCCTCATGACATGTGGTGAATAAACGGCGTAATTTGTGTGGAACGACTTGTTTAAAGCATTTCAATGTCCCCCTGGTTTTCAAAAAGATCCATCTCGCGTCATATAATTAATGCGTCGGATTTTCAAACCCTGTTTTAAGTCTCCGTTATTGTCATGTCAGGGAGTCATTACACCCCCGATTATGGTAATCGCATTTCTAATTTTATAAGATCAAAGACGCCGCAAATACGTACGAAAGATTCGCACGGCATTGAGAACACAGTCGGAACGACCGATGGACGATGCAACTGGGATTACATACGGTCCGTTGAGGCAGCTCGTGAATCCGTGAGGTGGATTTCACTTTCACTCGTGTTACCTTCGTTAAGAAGAAGAGTGTTTCTGTGGATGTAATAGCAGATCGAGAGCAACAGCACTTGTCCTTTTTGAATAGTTTCTGTTGGAGTCGATGGACAACAGTAACTAAACTCAGGGCGCTGGTGGATCCGGGTAGGCTTCAGCGACAACTCGGAATTTCAAATTTGTAACGGTTCGGAGGTGACTTCAGCCCGCCCTGGGAATCGCTTTCTGCTTCGATCTTGCCTGCTGTTTGAGGAGCACCAATTCGTGCGGGATTGTTGATGTCTGTCGATTAGGTGCGGGGTGGGGAGACGGCGAAGGGGAGGCGAGGTCGGAGGTCCTGTCGACGAGGCGGCAGCGGAGACGGAGGGATGCGGCGGAGGTGGGAGAGGTTGAGCGTGGCAGGGGCGAGCTAGTTAGGAGGCATAAGGTGAGAGAGAGAGGAGAGACTTCTGGTAGGTATACGTGGGTGAGCTCCTGGGATGCTCCAGATGAAGATAAGAATCGGAAGATATGAATTGGAGGTTAGGGTGAATGAAGGCGAGTAAGGCAGAGGGAATCCTGGAGTCGATTAGACGCAGTGCAAGGAAGGAGATAGGAGCTTAGAGATGGGGAGAGGAGCGTCGCCCATGCGGAGTATGGTGCGAAGCTCTCCCAAGAAGCCGTCGCAGGAAAACATGGATTCGCATCATGTCAATTTCGGGGAGTTGACGCCCATGCGAAAGCCATTGAGCTCCATTTTGGAGAGTAGCCGCAACCCTCTTGTGGCTTCTGATGATAATGGTGGTTACTCATCGGTTTCCAAAGGGAAATTGGATGCTACGACGCCTAAAATGAAGAAGAGAGGCGGTCAGTGCTTGTTGACAGAGAACATCGATGGAGGAAATGCTACTCCGGAGAAACAAGGTCACGGTAAAGTCAAAAAATCCCGCGCCCGGCACCAGTCCCCGGCGAAGAGCCTATCTACTGCCAATGTGTTGGATGTCGGATCGGTAGAGCCAGGATGTGATATGCCTTCAAGTGACGATGACCAAGCAGTAGGTACGTGTTGTAAAGGACAATTGGAGCAGCACGGTTCCTTCAAGCTGGCCGCTGAGAATACAAATTCTCTCACGCCCCGCGCTAACAATGAGCGTGGAGGTAAACTTGGCACCGAATCTGAGCCGACATCATCTGCACGTGCCAGTTCTTGTCAAAATATTTCTGCCACCCCTGCGAAGGGCGTGACACGGACTCTTAAGTTCGGTGCAGCACATGGACCCGGAGTACCAGGTTCTTCGACCTCCCGAGCGCTTGTACCTATCCCTCAAAGTGGGCGAAATGCGATCCAAGAAGCCGTTGAACAACAGTTCAATCTTGAAGAGGATCCTACGTTCTGGCATGACCACAATGTTCAGGTATACTCAGCATTGCAATGTGTGCTCTGCAGTGGATTTCTCATGTGCTCTCCGAATTTCTTTTGACGATTTACTGTCGTTTCCTCGGGTGTATTCGGGCAAGGGCCGTAGAATCTAGATGCCTGATTCTTTTGGTTTCTACTAGATGTTATCCACCCTTTTCATTCGATGTATCGTTCTTCACTCCGTGCTGAGCGTAGGCAGCAATTTTTTTCCTTAAGAACCACGCGTCGTACTGTTCGTGAATTTCACTGTATCTGACTTAGAATTTCTGTCCTTCTACATGCTACCTTTCCAGCAATTTTCTCATGCAGAAGCCTGTTCATGCAGGTGTTAATTAGGACCCGCCCTATCAGCAGCTCAGAAGTCATCTCCCAAGGATTCAGTAAATGCTTGAGACAGGAGAGTCCTCACACCATCACATGGTTAGGGCCACCGGAAACTCGCTTTACATTTGACCAAGTAGCTGGCGAAATTGTCTCTCAGGTACGCATGATGCAGAACTCTTGCGGGCTTCGGAAGCGACTGTCAAGCAGCGTTCTTTATTCCCAGTAAAGTCTTCACGAGTATTATATTGAGTATTGCCCTTTTACTGCTCTAACGGTTTGGGTTAAAATTGTTGCAGGAGAAGTTATTCAATGTTGCGGGGTTGCCAATGGTGGAGAACTGTATGGCTGGTTATAACAGCTGCATGTTTGCATATGGCCAGGTTGAGCTTGATTCCTTAACCTAGATTTGGCTTTTCTGTGGACTTGCAGAGAAATAGATGCCTTGCTTCCTTGAGTTCTGTTTGTTGCAACGATTCGTCTGTTTATTAACACATCTATTTGTCAGACTGGGAGTGGTAAGACCCACACTATGCTCGGAGATATTGACCATCTCGGAGACAAACCAAGCGACAACCGGGGCATGACTCCTCGAGTCTTCGAGTATCTCTTCTCAAGAATTAAATTGGTAGGCATTTCTGTGGTGTCGTGGGATTCCTTGGTCTAAGTTTTCCACTGAATTTTTGTTTCACCTGGAGGTAGTTGTGGAATGTGTTATCTCTTGAAAATCAAGTGAACGTTGTCAGTCAGTTTTTTGAGACTAGGAAATGGGGTAAACGGTGGATGCTGGATTTTGCAGGAAGAGGAACGTCGTGCGGACGAGAACCTTAAATTTTTGACCAAGTGTTCCTTCCTTGAAATTTACAATGAGCAAATTACTGATTTGCTGGAGCCCACATCTACCAATCTGCAGGTATAGTACTGGCAGCCTGCTTCATGCGATTCCTTGTGCTCATAAGCCCTTGATATCATCTGGAGGAGTGGAATCGTCCTGCAATTGAACCACGTTTTTGACTTTGACATGCAGATGCGAGAGGATGTTCGGAAAGGAGTGTATGTGGATAACTTAACAGAAGTCGAAGTGAACAGTGTCCAGGACGTCATTCAGTTACTTAGCCAGGTTACATCTACCACCATCTCTGGGAGTCAATTTCTCTAGACCTGTGCAGGTTGGAGGAATGTGTGTTTTGGGAGGCGGGGGATAACTCTCATGATAGTAATTCTCGTGGTGTTTCACTGTTAATTTATTTCAGGGTTCGGCCAACAGGAAAGTAGCAGCCACAAATATGAACAGAGAGTCCAGCCGCTCCCACAGTGTGTTCACATGTATTATCGAAAGCAAATGGGAACGGGACTCTATGACTAACATCCGATTTGGAAGACTTAATCTTGTTGACCTTGCTGGGTCAGAAAGGTAATCCTGTTCGTGAAGAATTGTGTTGTACATGCGGCCCAAATGTTCCATTCTCTACCATAAGCCATGGATTCAACTTGCACCTACCCAGTCCCTAATGGGAAATTCATATTGCAGGCAAAAAACCTCCGGTGCTGAGGGTGAGCGGCTAAAAGAAGCTGCCAACATTAACAAGTCTCTGTCTACCCTTGGGTAAGTTTCGTGCTGAAGGTATGTGAGGGGCAAACAGTTAACGTCAGAACAGATAATTTGATTGTCGATCCTTCATTTATAGGACGAGAAACTCTCATAGTGCAAAAAATTCACTTGCACATTGTCTTTGCAGATTAGTCATCATGATTCTCGTCGACGTGGCAAATGGGAAACAACGTCACGTCCCATATCGGGATTCAAAGCTCACCTTCCTTCTTCAGGTAAGATTTCATAATTTCTTTCCCTGTTTTGAAAGAATGTCAAATTTAGTCTCAAGTTAATCAGAAAGTTGGGTGCAAATTTTTGTGTGCAGGATTCCTTGGGAGGAAATTCAAAGACCACCATCATAGCAACCGTTAGCCCTTCCAGCTGGTTCGTCTACGATCCTGGGGCTAATGCATTGTCGTAATTCTATATTCGTCGTTCCATCCACATGTCCGTAAGTCATGAACGCGCATCTAACACGTACTTCTGTGTCGCAGCAATTCTCTTGAAACATTGAGCACTCTGAAATTTGCGCAACGTGCGAAGCTCATTCGCAATACGGTTCGCTTCTTACTTCTGCAACTACTTTGGTTCTCAGTTTCATCTGATGGTTCGGACAAATAGCCTCAAATTTTGCCTCACGACTGCTTTGAAAACAGGCCGTGATCAATGAAGATGCATCGGGGGACGTGAAAGCATTGCGTGCTCAAATTCAACAGATGAAGGTGCCGATTCATCTGTTTATTTGTTTTCCTAGTGTTGTTAAATCATTGCCTTGGAGTTTCTCGATTAAATTTTATTTGCTTGAACACGCCCTAGAAATACTTGTGACTGATCTTTGTTCTTGTGGTACGACAGGAGGAGTTGGATCGCCTGCGCCGTCAAAGCATTTCTAGAGTACCTCTATCGCAGGATGATTTTAATCCCATTCGCAGCTCGATTGAATCCTGGGGGGATGCACACAAGTTTTTTGGCAGTCCTGAAGTGTTCAGCAGAAAGGTAGTTGTATCATGAACTTCGGTCTAGTAACAATCCTTTACCTTGATACCTTGAACTCATTTGTATCGGTCTGAATGAAAGTTCGTAGTCATCTGAGATTGTATTGCTGTTTCCAGTTCCGGCAGATGGAGTCAGTCGTCGAAAGCTTGAAGGCGGAGCTAGCTGCTAAGGAAAAAAATCATGAACCGTCCAGAATGAAGGACCTTGAGTTGGAGAACATCAAACACCTCGAACTGATTGCTGACCTCAGGCTTCAATTGAAACAGGTTCGCACATTCCGATTAATTCATCTACCTGTTCACAATCTTTCTCTGCTGCTGGTCAGGTTCGTCGGATAAGAAGGATCTTACCTAACGCATGTGGGCGGATGTCTACAGAGTGAAGAGAGGGCCAAAATGCAGGAATGTACTCTTGGTCTCCAGTTACAGGCCGCATCAATAGAGACCCAGAATTTGCACTCAGAGCTTGAGGTGCCTAACCATCATGAATATCTCAGAGATTGTTTCTTGTACTCTCATTAGTATGCGTGATTGTTGCTATCATTAGATAGGTACTCAAAAGACTAGATTTAATTTCAGTACTTTTCGTGAACGCAGGCCACTAAGGAGGCGTTTGAAGCTGCACGAGCCCTTGCGAAGAAGCTTCAAACCCATGAGGCCGCTCTTGTTGGTTCTCAGGTAGTCAAGCAGTGCGACCTAATCCCATCATTGAGTATGATGACCCGTTTTGGATTTCTGAGCTTTACTCACCACTCTCCAATGTGCTCCAGTATGCAGCGGCTGTCAAGCAAATCAGGCTGGAGACGGAGGAGATGGCAGTGCAACAGAGCCAGTCTTTGACTAATATACAAGAAATGGCTGTTCTGTTCCGCATGAAGGAGACAGAGCTTAGAGGTCAGCTTGAAGACGCCCAGATCATAATTCAGAAGCTTTCGGCCAAGGATAAGGAGAAGAAATCAGGTGGAGTGTCTGCTCAACTGGATTCTGGCAATACACCCAATAGTGCCAGAGCGGAAGATGGCTCATTTGGACGGCTCCAAAGAGCTCAAGAAATCGAGATGCGACACGCAGAAGAAGTCATGCAATTGCAGTTAGAGTTGGAGTCGCTTGAGGCAGTCCTAGAGGAAGAAAGAGTCCAAAAAGAATCTGCGCAGGCTACATTAAATGAAGAGAAATCTCTTCGACGTAAGGTTGAGGAGAATGTCGCCAAACTTACCTACCAGTTGCAAGAGGCTGAAGATATTATCTCCAATCTGAAAGCCGCTGCTGCGGTGAGAGAGACTACATACTTCGACGCAGTTTCCAAGCTACAACTGTGTTCTCCAGATCTAAAATCACCACGTCGAAGTGAGCAACTCGACCAAGATAAATCTCTGATGGAAGCCTTGGAAATTCACCATCATCATTCGACCCAAGAATTTGAGGCACTGCAAGCTGATCACACGAAGCTTTTAGAGAAGTTAGAGCGGAGGGAAGAAAGGGAAAAGATACTTAGAAAAAAAATCGACCGTCTAGAGCATGAGTTGACCAAGGAGCAGGAGATTCGGGACCTAGAACGGGAGTGTGCCAAACTGGACGAGGGAGGCTTGACAGAGGAGGCTGAGAGGTTGTCTTTGGAGAAGAAACTCGAGAGTGCTAAACAGGAGCTTGAAATTGTACACACTGAAAATCTTAAGCTCAGTGATGACGAGTTTGAGAAAGATATGGCTCGGTGTCAGGCAGAATGTGAAACTGTAATAGCAATTACCTCCATGCAAGCCGAGCTTGTGGACTTGAGGGGTGAAGTTGAATCCTTATGTCTAGAGCTTGCAGCTGCCAGGGAAATGGTCTCAGAGCGCACAAATGAGCTAGATAAAACTAGGGTGATGCTCACCGACGTTAAAGGTGAGAACCTTCTAATAGTGGAGAAGTTCGAGTCCATTCTGATGGTGAAGGACCGTGAAATTGATACTCTGCGAAGGGAATGGCAGAGTGCTACGGTGAAGCTAATAGATTATCTTGCAGAGGGAGATAAAGCTCTAAATGAAGCGTCCTTCGAGATGGAGCAGATATTTAGCGATTACTTGCCTTTCTCAGCAAGGTCCAGCCGGGACAGTATCATCAGTTCCAAATCTACTGAGAAAATGAAAGCTGTTGAATTAAAACAACAATTGCAACATGCGCAAGTCCTTACGAAGGACGCTGAAGCAAGGGTAAGATTGCTAAATGAGACGGCTTTCGCACTGGCCACGGCTCAAGCTCTAGACGCCCCACAAAAGCTTCATCGCTTAAGCATTCAAGCTGCTGAAGCCATGGAGATTCTTCACAGCGAAGCCGATTCCATGAAGCTAAAGTTGCTCGAGTTTGAGAAGTATGCAATGGTGATGTCGGTCTTCATGCACTGGCTCGCACAGTCGGGTGACGCGAAGTCAATAGCAGGAAGCATAGGCTGTGAAAATCCCAACGTGTCTGAATCCTCCATCGCTGTGTATAGTTTGAAGGAAAAGCTTGCTTTGACCTTGTCTGAATTGAAGGAGGCGAAGGATAAAGCAGCGGAGACTGCAGCCGCACATGAAAGCCTTGCTATCGTGAAAGAAGTGTGGGAAGTTGAGAAGAAAGGTCTTCAGAGCGATCTCAGCAGCTTGGAGAGGGATAAACTATACCTTGAAGCTGAGATCGATGCATTGAGATTGGAGCTGTCTGGAGTACAGCACCGCTCTGACAGGTCCGGAGCTCAGGTGTGTAATTCTCTTCCCAGGTTATTTTTGTGATTGCGCAACTGCTGTATAGGGACCTAATTTTGCTATTTTGATCGATCCTTCAACTCACGGAGAAGGAAGCTGAATTTGAGTTCTTCAAAGTGAAGATGTGCGTGTATGTCGGGTTCATCGAGCTCAGAAATGAGCTTCAGGATCTATGAACAGAACAGGACACTAAGCGGATGCTTGTGCAGGAAACGGAGGCCAAATTCCTCCTATCTAGTGAAACCTCTGACCTCCTCAAGGAGAAGGACGAGAGAATTTCCTCGGCAAAACCAATGAGTGAGCGGATATCTAGCATGAGCGTTCCAAAAGAGGACAGGGATGTCCTCGAGATGAGGAGGAAGCTGGAGAGTTTGCAAGATGAAATAAGGGTGAAGGAGAAAGCATTGGTGGACGTCGAGAAGCAGCTCTTTGAGTCGCTTCAAGCCTCAGTAGCGCTCGGTAAAGAAAAGGATGACGCAATCTCTGACCTTACTGCAGAGCTCAACGAAATGTCTTCCAGATACGCTGGAAGTAGTGAAGAACTGGGCCGGGTCCGTGGTGAATTGGATTTTATCCAGGCAGAGCTTGGGGCAAAAGAATTGCTTCTTCAAGATTCCCAAACCCGTGTCACTCAAGAAGATGTGGTCTTCGACAAACTCTCAAAGGAGAAAGAGGCAATTGAAGCCGAGTTAGAAGCAGAAGGACAGCTTCTACAGGAATCTTTGGCCCACATAGCGCAAGTAGATATCGTCATGGAGAAACTGACAGGAGAGAAAGAAGTCCTTCATTCACAGCTTGAAAGTATGACCCTGGAAGCTAACGTGGCATCTTTAAGGTTGTGTGAAGCTGAGGAGGCACATTCCTGTCTGCAGGATAAGGTTGCTTTCATCGAGGCTCGAATTGCTGAATATGAAAGTAAGGAGCAGTCTTTGGTCATGGAGATAGAAGAGCTCTCCACCGCGAGGAATATGAGTGATGAAGATGTGCTCCAGTTGCAAAATGAGGTCTTGGAGCTCAGGAGAGAGCGAGATAGCCTGAATTTAGAGGTGTCGACTATGGACATGCAATCGGCTATTAGCGACAAGTTACAGTATATCCAATCAGTCTGTATTGAGACTGACGATCGAATCGCCTCAATGCAGTTGGAAATAGAGGCTCTTACTTCAGCTAAAAAGACTCTGGAGAGCGAAGTGCAGTCGATTGAAGCAATGGCTGCACAGCTGCTCCTGCATACAGCGGAAAGAGAAGAGAGCCTCGAAGTTTCTCAAATGCATTTCGAACTCGAGCACATGAAGTCGGTCGATGTTACACAAGCTTTCTTCGCACAAACAGTGGAGACCCAGGGCAGTCCCAAAGAAATCTTAGCTGTTCACGTCAATCTTCAGGCCGCTGAGGAGAAGATTGCTTGCAAATCTAAGGTCTTAGATGGTTTGTTTAATTCCAAAGCCGAGAAGGAAGAAGAATATCGACTTCTTAAGGACCAGTTGGAGCATAAAGCAGCAAAGCTCTTCCAAGCTCAAGAGAAGTTGGAAGAGCTGGCTGTGCTTGTACAAGAGTATTCAACCGCAGAAGAGAGCTGGAGGAATGAGAAAGACAGACTTTTAACAGAGGTTCGCATATTAAAGTCTGAATTGGAGGAGAAGGAATTACACTGCCTGACTGTGCAGGAAGAAAAAGAGGCTCTTGAGAGACGTGTTCAAGAAGTGGCTGGTGGAAACGATGCCGCTTCAGCCACTATTTCGTCGCTGAAATCTCGAACTGAAGATATCGAAGCTTCAGATAGAAATACTCGTACGAATCTTCCTTCCGATGCTGATGATAATGAACTAGCGAAAGTCCGGGCTGCTTTAACAGGGGCTGAGGAGAAGGTTAAGCTGTTGGTAGACGCTAATGCCACCATGACGGACGCGTGGGAAGGAGAAAGATCGATGTTGAATGCTGACAAGGAGCTGATGCAACTTGAGATTTCTCGATTAGAGAAACCTGTTCTGTCTGTACCTGGTCAATGTAACGCCACATCACGGGATGCGGTTATTGGAAAAGATCATTACATAGATGAGCTCAAGCAAGTGATGAAGAGAACCAGCGCAGATTGTGAGAAGCTACGTTCCATACTCCGAGAGCGGGACAATACAATTCTTTCTGTGAAACTGCAATTAGAAGAGGCCATGGTACACTACAAGGAAGCCGAGATTGAAATGGAGAAGACGATCAGAGAAAAAGAAGACGCGATTTCACGAATAGCCGAATTGGAATCAGAAGTTTCCAACGCTCAGGACGAGATCATGAGGCGCAGGAAACAAGTGGAGTCTTTCGAGCTCGAGTTGGACAACGTAGTGGTGAGAGTGACGGACTCTGAAGCTCAACGGAGGGCACAGGGAGTTGAGTTAGAGTGCTCCATGGATATTGCCCTAGCTGAGACCTGTGAGGAAGAGTGTAAGAACGAACCTAAGTACGAAAGTGAAGCTGCCCGAGCTGAGAGTGACAATTATTCTGTTCTCGAAAAAAAGATGCACGGAAGCTTTTTTGGCTCTAGAAGGCACGCCTCTGAAGAGGTCGACGACTCCATGAGCCTCTGCATGCCCACTCTAACTGCGATTGCTTTAGTCAAGGAGGAGTTTGATTTCATGAAGAACCACATTGAAAAAGAGATAGAGTCCCTCGCCGATAACGTAAAATCTCTAAAAGCTGATATGAGTAGCTGGTTTTCTGGGATACCTGTAGATTGTATTCAAGAGGATTTGAATCATATCATGAAAGCGCATAGCATGGAAATTGTTAGCCTAACTCGAAAAATTCAAGGCTTGGAAAGACTCTTAGCTGGTAGAAAATTCGATGTCTCAACGCTACATACCACCCTTCTAAGTGTACCGGAAGTCGAGCGGAAGTCATTAGCAGAGGAAGAGGTCGTTGGATCGGTTAATTATCACCAGGCAGCTGATCCAGCATCTGCTTGTGCAGATCTTGAAAACACTAGGGTGGAGCTTGAGATGTCTGAGGCTGCCGTGTCTGAACTCCTAACTGCGGTAGGTGAGAGAGATGCTACTTTGTCATCCTTAGAGTCAGCACTTAAACAGTCCCAAGCGCGATTGGCAGAGCTCTCTGCGGAGGTCGACTCTAATCGACAGGAAGTTCAATCTGCGAAGCTGGCTCTCTTCAATGTGGATCAGTTGCGCGCTCTTGTAGACACTCTTCAAAGACAGGTTACTCAAAGGGAAGAACTCATTAAAGGCCTTGAATACGATATCAATCTTCTAGAGGAATCTGGAGCTGTAGATGCCGAGAACGCGGCAAAGACTATATCTCAGCTGCAGAAAGATTTAGACGATAAGAGTAGTGATGTGAATATGTTCAGAAACCGGATAGCGACTCTAGAGGCAGTACTTGATTCAAAGCTGAATACGCTGGCTACCATGGAGAGAGATCTCGTTGCCTCAAACGCGAACGCTGCTGAGGCTGCCGTAGAGAACTCGAATTTTCACGCTAGAGTGAAGGCACTGAAGTCTGAACTGGCGGCGCGTGATGCATTGGTCAAGGAGAGCGAATTCGTCATTATATCTCTGAAGTCAGAGCTGGAGAACGCCAAATCGTTCATGGCTGAGAACGAGGCGGTTGCTATCAAAGCCCGCCAGGTAACTAACGTCCTTCGCATGTGCGCTCTCTCTCCATTTTTCCTCCCTAAATTCATTACAACTAATCGAAATTAATCAGGTAAGTGAATCCTTGTGCCATTATGGTCTCGTTGAACGCTCAGCCAGTATTCGGTCGTAACTGAGTGACGAGCTGACTTTGATTCACATTGCTGCACGCAGTCTGCAGAGGTGTTCAAGAGCAAGTCTGAGGAGATGATGGCGGAAGAGGAACAGTTGAGGAACAGAGTTTCTGCTCTTCAGAATCAAGTGGGTCCCTCGTCCATTCTTTCTAAGTTTTCACGTTCTGTTTAGAATTTTTGCATGGTATGCGAGATCCGACAGCTTATACCAAGCCGCCAGCAGGTTAACATTCTTGAGAAGAAAATTGAGGAGCAGATTCACATGCAAGAGCTAGCCGAGAAAAAGCTCACGCAAGTCCGGCATCAAGGGTCCACGTTCCCTGTACTAGAATCCAAAGAAGCGCAAGCTGCTACACAAACGTTGGAGAGGTATGCCTCATCCTTAGACTTTCACTACTCTTATCACATTGTGAGACTTCGATGTGTAAGTCACCGGACTTGTCGAGGATATCCTGATTTCTGTGCTTCAATTGTGTAGGAAGTTGAATCTTATGGAGGCGGACCTGTCAATAGAGCAACAGAGACACGGAAGCCTGCAATTACTGTGTGAGGAGAAAGATCGCCAGGTACATTCCAAGATAGAAGTCCTACGGTCGTTTTGAGTTTTTCTTTCTTTGCCAAGTCCATCCCCCCAAGAGGTTTCTCTTTTATCCTTTCTGAATTCTTTTTGATAACATTCCGCGGATTCGTCCTGACTTAGTGAGAACCATGGTTGCTTTGTAGATCAAGGATTTGAATGCCCAGATTAACCAACTGACGCTTTGCGGAAAACAAACTTCAGAGTCTCAACAGAAGGTATCCCTTCATACTATGGTTTCCCTGGATCGACTCTTCTCTCGCTTGATTTATTTATTTTGTTTGGATGATGTTCTTGCACTTGCTTATCGACATTTCGTGGTGTAGCTCTAACCTAATTTTACAATTGGTCTTGACTTGATAGGTGAGGCTGGAGGCAATGGTCCAGAGCAGTCCTGCAAAGTCTCTAGCTAAAGCATCGAGCATAGGCCCATCTTTCGAATTCAGAAATGCTGACTTTGCAGTGAGGCGCCGGATCGAGGAGCTTGAAGCTCTCGCCGCAGAGCGGCTGAAGGAAGTGAGTGCTTTCTCATTTGATATGTAGGTCGCTGTACTCCCCTAATTTTAGTTTCTTAAATGGGCGGCCATTGCGCTTGGATCTCAAGTGTCTGGCAAATGCTGCTGCAGGTGTATACGTTGAACGCTAAAATTGCAGACCTCGAAAGCGAAATGCACGATGTGGTTCGTGAACTAGTTCGAACCAATCTAGATGTTCAGAACTTCAAGGTATTTCCTTAAAAACGCTATCAAATCGGGTTCAGGGAATGCACTAATGTGTCCGGTTTGTAAAGATTTTCTTCTGAATCTCTATGCTCTGCTGCAGTTGAGCAATCCACAAGTCAAAGAGATTGTAGCCACTGTTCGGCGGCGAAGTGTCGAGAGCCAGAAATCGGTAACAAGCTCTTTTCATGTTGTTGAATGATCAGTACCTGCTGATTCTGTGTCCCGTTCGTACGGAAGTCATCCCCAAGACTCTCACCTGCAGATGCATACATTTTCGCAGGGTATTGCCACTGATGTGGAGGTGGAAAAATTGCGCAATAAGCTTAATGAATTTATTGAAGAGAGGGACAGGTATTGCCTTGTGCTCCTTTGCTCCCCTCGCTGTAAGCACTATATTCACTGAGAAGATGACTTCAGCACTCGTCAGGGGATATTTTAATTGTAAATATATTGAACTTAACTCAATGCTTTTTCGGATTCGACAGCTGGTTAGAGGAAATACAAAAACAACAGGTCGAGATGACTGCTGCCCGTGTTACGGCTGAACAGATGCGTTTCCGTGATGACACACTGACAGCAGAGAATGAGAAACTGAAGGTATTCACACTAATGTGGTTTATGTCTGCCGGTTGTCTTTATTGCGATTGCCATTTAATCGGTGCTCAACATTATCTCAACCGAAATTCTATCGTCGATGCAGACACAATCCACAGCACTTCGAAAAAGGATCTGCGATTTGGAGCAAGAAATGAAGAAGCTTTCAGGACAGCAAAACCTTCAGCAACGAATCCATCATCATGCCAAGATCAAGGTATGGCAGGTCATCATCGTGTATTCTTTCACTGCTGTTATGATTGTATTCTTAATACAGATGGGAAGTATTTAACGGTGCCAATGACAACAGGACGAAAACAATTCACTCAGGCTAGAGGTGGAGGGCCTCAATACCAAGTTGAGGCGCCTCGAAATGATGTTTGCTAGGGTGAAGGATGAGCTTGAGCGTTACAGAATATCTGCCGGGAAATCACCCTTCCCAAACATCGATGAAGAGCAGCGGCTACGAAGCAAATTGCAGGTACCTTTATGTACACATTGTATTTCTTATATGACCCATGTGTCATCCATCAGAGTAAGCTCCTTGCGATATTTCTTACGTATAAAAAATTGAAAGTTGCTGTATGAATTCATCAAACAGGAAGCAGAGGAAAGGAAAATCCAGTTCGCGCAGCAATTTATCACACTGTGTAACGCCATTCAACGGGTACAAGTCCGTCTCCTCCTTCTTTTGTTGGATCCATGCGGATGTTTAAGTCATTTGCAAACTTTCGAAGTTCTGGAGTTCAATCGAGGAATTTACATGCTGGGCTCTTACAGGCAGCAGGCAGTTCAAAGTCTGTGACGCGAGTCGATCAATCGACGGCCATTGAAGCAATTCGTAACGTAGAATCACGGCTACGCAGCGCGGAAGACGAAGTCTCTGACTTTAAATTAAAGGTAATATCGAACAGTTATTAATTCTTGCTTAAGTAGATTCCTGAATACTTCTGTTGTATTTCCATTTTGTTACCATACGCACTGTAGAATTCCTAATCGCGTAAACACTCCTTCCTGCAGGCAAGAATATCGGGAGAAAAGAGGCGGCTCAGCGAATTGCGGACATTCCAAAGTCCGATGAAGTCCAAGCCTCGCAACAACATTTCAGGAGCCCTGCCAAACATCGGTGATGATATATAGCGTACGTAGCCTAGTATTAGACATATAAGTGTACAGTGCCATGTAAGTTCATTATACATTTTGATTCATTTCAAGGTTTCTTGCCTCGAGTGGCATTAAACTCGGTAGTTTAATTTTACAGAGTTGTCCATGAACAATAATACATTCTGCAGTGGGTTACCGTAGCACAGGGTATATCTAATGACGTCGGCTTTAATCATATTGATGTAGCCATTTCGTTCAACCATTTTTGGTGTGTTCGTTGCACCATCTTCTTCTTCACGATGCTCATTGGGTATCGCGATAAAATATACGACCATTTTTCACGCCGGTCATAAATAACTATTCTTATCCACCTTCACTGCCTTGAAATGTGTGTTCTGTGTGCTGAACTCCCAAGCCAACATGTCTTGCATGGACTTGCTAATCCGTGTAAACACGAAGTAACCTCCCTCAAGCTCCCTCCTCTACTTCTGTTCAAAAATGAAAACACTTGACTACCATCCACTTAATAAGTAAATCTATTAATTGACTTAAAGCATATCAGTTGCAGAGAGCTGTAATTATCTATGTCCTTCGAAGCGAATAGAAACTAATCGAAAAGTGTGAAACAAGTTGCAACCAAATAAGTATGTGAATTTTTTTTAGTGTAACAGCACACAACCAGCCTTTGAATGTGTGTTAGACTCACAAGTGTATTGACTATTTTCAAAAACTCGTATTTTAAAATTTTTTAATTGATATTTATTTGTTTAGAAGATGCAAAGATAAATTTACTGTTGTATTATAATCTTTGATTAAAAAGTATTTTTAATTTTTTATCATTTTATAATCAATTTTCTAATATTTGTAATTATTCTAGGAATATAAATATTATTAATTTTATTTATTGACTAATTATCCAATTAGATGTAATTTTTAAACATTTAAATAAGACTATAAAATATAATTTTAAAATTTTGTCATTTATTTCCTTGAAAGAATATTTATTTTTTCATAACTACATGAAATTTATTTTAAGATAAAAAAAATTATTAGAAACTCTATAATAATTAAAAAATATACTATTTTAAACTATCTTGGTATGACTATTATTTGTAAATATTATTTTATATCAAAATTTTAGAAAAATATTTAAATGATATAGACTTTTGTTAAATTGATCCTCATGTCTAGACCATCATTGCATTCCTTCAGACCTCATTTCCATTCCCTTCGTTTTCTTGGCTCCATCCTTGTTTTATCCATTCTCTTAGCCTTGTCTTCATTCTCCCTATTCCTATTTTTCTTGTTTATTTAACCTTCATCTTTTTTTCAGCAATTTCATAATGTAAAATTCATGGACTAATTGATCCTCTGTACACTCGACTCAAAGTGGAAGAATGCTATAGAAGAAGTCTATTAATCATTCATGGACAATAAAACATAGGAATTGACTCAACTTCTAGCAAATTGATCATTAATTGGTTGTAAGTGGGTACTTAGAACCAAGAAGAATACAATGGACAATGTTATAAGATACAAGGCTAGATTCGTTGCCAAAGGCTACTTACAAGTTGTTAGTATTGATTTCAATGAGATATTTGCTTCGATGGCCAAATTCACCATCATTAGAACTATTGTTATAATTAAGGCAGTAATAAAGTTAGAAATACTTCAAATAAATATGAAGATGGCTTTTTTGAATAGAAAGTTAGAAGAAGACATCTATATGGATCAACTTCAAAGATTTGTGTAAAAGTCAAATAACACCTTATTTGTAAGTTGAAAAAAACTTTGTATAGACTCAAGCAATCATCAAAGGTATAGTACCAATGTATTAACATATTCTTTATAAATGAAAGGTTTCTAAGGAGTAAGGTTGATTACTTCATATATGTGATGCAATCAAATGAGTTTTTATTGATTGTTATCCTCTATGTCAATGATTTGATCATCTTAATCAATACTTTCAAGATGATAGAATGGTTGAAGGTAAAGTTAAAAAAAGAGTATGAAATAATTGATTTGAAATAATTTCACTATAATTTAGGAATAAAATTTGCAAGAGATTGTGCTAACAAAACCATTACAATAAACCAAAGGAAGTATATTAAAGAGATGTTGAAACTATTCAACATGAAAGAATATAAGTCCATTGGAATACCTATGGAAGCAAATTTGAAGTTGATGAAGCTCATGGATGACGAATTTGTTGAAGTTGAAGATTAAATGCAAGATATTTCATATAAGGCAATAGTAGGCTCATTTATGCATGTAATAGTTAATACAAGGTTAGATCTTGCATATATAGTGAGTTTTGTGAGCCAACACATATCAAAGACTGGACCAATCTATTGAATAACCATCAAAAAGTTCATGAGGTAGTTAAAATTGTACTTTAGATGTGATGATATTATTTTACATGGTTAATATAATGTAGATTAGGTTGGAAATACAAATGATAGAAGGTCAACAACAAACTATATATTTTTTAATAAAATATGAGCTATTTCATAGAATTGTAAGAATTAACCAATAATTGTAAGATCCATAATGGAAGCAGAGTATATAGCATCAAGTCATGGTGCACTAGAGGCAATATAGCTAAGACAACTCTTAGAAGACATTGGACTTATGCAATTAGAAGCAAACTCTAATGAAGAATTACAATCAAGAATGTCTTGCTTTTGCAAAAAATCAAAAGTATCATTCAAGAATCAAACACATTGACATTTAACATCACTTCATAAGAGAGAAGATTGAAATGAGAGTGATTGCCATAAAATATTATGTAACAAAGGACATGTTTCTTAATTTGTTGACAAAAGCATTAATAAAGGATAAACATGAGATATTGATAAAAGTATAAGGATTGAAAGCTTTTGATCAATAAAAAAAGTAGAAGCATTCAAAAGTAAATAAATAAAAATAAAAGTAAGATAAATTACTTTATAGAGTATATTATCTTGAATAAGTTATTATTAATCAAAAGATTGGATTTTGATATATAAAAGGCTAAGACAGAAGGTCAACGAGGATAAAGAATCAACTATGAAATATCTAAAGACTAGATAAGAGTATAAAATATATGTCATAGGATATCTTTGAGGTAGATGAATGAATAAAGAATCTTAGGAGTATAAAAAATATACTAAAAGTATATTCTTATAATAGATAAAATATCAATGGATAGTCTCAATATAATCTTGGATGGATGTATTCATCAAAGGATGGAAATTATCCAATAGGGCAGCAACTACTACCTATAAGTAATGAATATTGAAAGTAAAAATTATCTTACTTTGTACTCTCTTAGTATGTAATTTTACTCATGCTATGTGTTATGACTTTAATTTTTTATTATTATTATTATATTCTATCTCCTATCTTTTTTTATAGTCCCTATATATTTATGGTACTAAAAATATAAAAAATCAACAACTAGTAAATTCAATTTGAAAATTATTATTTATTGAGTTACCAAACAAGATGTTATAATTATTACAATGTTGAAAACAACATAATAGAAATGAAGGCCCTCAAAAATAATATATTTAATCTCAAATAGGTAATAAAATACTATGTGTTTGATATTATAACCTTAGAAGAGATTCTTGATTTTTGGTAATATTAATAGAGGTAAAAACCACCTCCCATGGTGTTATAAATGTTTTATTTAAAAAGAGGTATAAAATTCTTAATAATAATTAAATATTTATTTAATTATTAATTATTTATTTAATTATTAATTATTTATTTAATTATTAATTATTTATTAATTTATTAATTATTTATTAATTTATTAATTAATCTTCTATACTATATTTATTAAATATTTAATAATTAAATATTTATTTAATATTCAATAATAATCTTATTATCTTGATATAAGATACTATTCATGGCTAAGAGGTCCTATCAACCACTTTTGAAGGAAACAAAGATTAGACTATGTCGCAAATATAATTTATCAAATCTAAGACTTCTTCAATATATAATTATTGCTTGTCATAGAAATCGTCTATAGAGTAAGGTGTAATATGAGAGACATACATATTTACTTAGATAAGAAATATTGGATAGAAAATAAATATAGATAAATTTGATAATATTTTGTAGCAAAGCTTTATAGACATAAATTTGACTTTAGTCATGTTAATAATTGATAGGTAGGTTAAAAACTTTATCAACAAATTAGCTAAGTATCACATGTGATGTGTAACAAGGTATGTATAGGATATTTGCATTATTTGCGCATAAAAATATGTAGTTAGAGTTATTTTTGGAAAGTTTCTAGAATTGAAATTAGGATGGTGGTTCATATGGAATCTACTATAAAACCTTCTAAAAAGACTTAGGATGGTTATGATGGTAGATCACACATTTAAAGCCTTTTAGAAGGGCAGTTATCTTGGTAGGGCCTATCAGTAGAGACATTCTAGAAAGTTCTAAAGATAGTTGAACAAAATATAAATAGATTGGTTGAAGCCATTTGATCATTTGATCAAGCTTCAAATTTTTTCTCTCAATAAAGTTTGGTTGCTTTTTCTTGTTCTGTTTTGTTTGATCTTATTGGATTTTATTCTCTTTTACTCAGATGTGTCTTTCATATTCCATTTCATTTAATTATTTTCAATTTTATTCTAGTGTTCTTAGTCTTATGTTGTGTCAAGATCATTTTTGTTATGGATTTAGTAAGATTTTAGACCTAAGAGAATCCAATCCTATTTCATTAGTATCAAAGTGAATGTTAGTTTGTTCTTTGATAGTGTATTGATAGCTACCATATACTTGGAAGTCAATTATTGTGATCACATTGGATACTATTTTGAAGCTACAATGAGCTACTTTAAGTAGTCAATTAGAAGGAGAGAAGGCATTACAATAGTAAAATTTAGCAATAAAAACATAGTTTAGAAGATATGGCAGGGCAATCCCAAATAAAGACTCAAATACAATACCTCCTAGGCCAGATAGATACTTTGCAAGGGCAAATAGAAGCTTCTAAGACATAAGAGTTGACATCAGCTAGGATGAAAATGAGCAAGTCTAATACATACTCAGGGACCTGAGAAAAAGAAGATGTATACTAATGGCTCTTCAGCATACAATAGTACCTCCAATATATTTGGATAATAATAGTACTTCCAAAATCATCCATCATCTTTGAATGTCAAAAAATTTCTCACTTCTGTCTTTCAACTCTTCAATTCTTTCTCATACTCTAAGCTTAATTATCTAGAGCAAAGACAAGCAAAGGAATTATATATACCTTGAATTATTTGAAAGGTGCAGGTGTCATTTGGTAGTGACATCAAGCTCAAAGTTATAGAGCTTAAGACAAATTTTGTCATTGGGAGGAGTTTGAGACCAA